CCAGCCCCTCAGCATCTCTGAATCCTCTCCTGGACTCTCTCCAGTAGCTCCTTGTCCCTTATGGACTGGGGAGCCCAGAACTGGACCCAGGACTCCATAGGTGGCTTCACCAGGGCAGAGCAGAGGGGGAGAAGGAGACTCTCCCTTGACTTGCTGGCCACACTTTTCTTAATGCATCCTAGAAGACCATTGGCCTTCTTGACCACTTGGGCCCATCGTTGGCCCAAGGGCACCTTGTTATCCCCCAGCACTCCCAGGTCCTTCTCCTCAGAGCTGCTTCCCAGCAGGTCCCCCCTCACCTGTCCTGGTCCATGGGATTTTTTCCTCCCCAGGGGCAGGACCTGCACTTGCTCCTGTTCAACTTCTGCGGTTCCTCTCAGCTCAGCTCTCCAGCCTGTCCAGGTCCAGCCCCAGCCACCCCTCTGGTTTGGTTTCTTTGCTTCCCTCCCCCCAGTACAGAACTCCTCCACCAGACAGCAGCTTCCCTGTGCTTGCTGAGTCCCTGTCCCCCAGCTGTGATTTTTACAAATCCAGGGGAAATCTTTAATTGGCTGCTGTGCAGCCCCTGCTGAAACAAGAGCTCCTGCAGCTTGCAAAACAGCACCAGCCCCGCCAAAAATATCTGTGCCCTGGAGGAGGGATTGCCAGGAGAAGAAAGGATCTGCTTTGGAATAGTTTTGCTAATGGAATTTTAGTGATAAACCCCAAGGATGCTGCTCCCTGGCTCCTGCCTGCCAGTGCTGGTAGGGCTGGAGCCCAAAGCCTCAGCACTGGCCTCAGCCTGATGGATCTGACTGAGGAGGTGAAGCTGTCCATGCTGGAACCTCGTGGGACTGGCAGGCAGCTGCTTTGTGCCACTCCTGTGGGTACTGCAAGGACTCCTCCATGAGCTCTGGGTCTCCCCCCCTCTGCAAACCCCACCAGAGACCTTTCAGATCATGGAGTCCAACCGTTCATCCCAGCACTGCCAGGTCCCCACTGCCCCGTGTCCCTCAGCACCACATCTCCACGGCTTGGAAACCCCTCCAGGGGTGGGGACTCCACCACTGCCCTGGGCAGCCTGGCACAGCCCTGG